CCGGGTATCCGGTATTTTTAGATACCCGGGTATTTTCAATTGTAAATAAAACTTCATATTATCCATCAGTTTGGTCTATTCAAATATACAAATATTTACGCATACAAAAATAAACTTCTTAACAAAATAATAATAGAAACACAATGTCATTGTCGTAGTTCATAATAATGTCACGTTGCTGTAAATGTATTACCATAATTTATACCAACCAATTACATTTTCACGTAAAATTTAATGTGGTTAATCACCGGTAGCCTATTTACCGTAAAGAAAGTATGTTCCGCAAAATTTATAATTCAATATAAAATTCATAATAAAAATGTAAAAAAATAATGAAGCATGAGAATGACAAGTGACTACAGTCTTTCCAAAATTTTGAGCACGAATAGTCCAAGAAGCATCTTCGAAAAATCTGATTCGGTTTTACTGCATAGTATTCAAACTGAACCCCTTTTAATGAATATGCATGATGACAAGAATTGTTGGAATAATTTTTACAAACAAATTCCAAAAATTGTTTTTACGCAACGAACAAAGTTTTTCTAGTTTTTCGGATCATTCTCAACAAACTATTCTCTAACGCCTATTTTCTGTTTATACCCATGCAGCTTAACGGGGTCCGGTCAGGACAATGAGATCTTATAGTGTATTATATTGACAATTTTTTATATCAACACTAAACCTATGAAAGGTTCATGTAGTAAATAGATCCTTTGATCGCTAGGTGGCACGACCTAAGGGTAGTTATACCAAGAAGAGACAGACAAGGCAAATAAACTATTATAGAGAGGTACACTGACGTACCGAAAACATGGCGCCCACAAAACAGCTGATGACTTCTAACCACGTGTTGTTGTTATTTAACGAGAGGTTCATGCGGTGTTGCCTGATAGATCATCCTTTTTCTTCCAACGCCACTGAGCGAGAAAGTATTGTAATCGTGAAAAATGACAATGTACGTTATATAACATATACATGACGAAAAATCATGTCACTCATTTCCGTCGGTCTGTCTGTCCGCTAATCCTTGACGAGTCTATAACTTCAGAAGTACCGCTCGGATTTTGATGAAATTTGCACATAAGATTTCTTATATGCCAAGGACGAAAAAAGCGAAAAACATAAAAATCGCCCAAACTTCGTTTTTTAACGTTTCGGAGCCTTCTGATAATTTTCAAAAAAACATTTTAGCGGTTGAAATTCGGGAGTTGGGGTTTGTGGGGGTGGGGAGAGTCTATGAAAATTTGTTGATCTTAGAATATTTATGCGCTCCCAACCTCGGTAATTATATGCACCTATTAGCCATATCTTATACATCATAGATTTCCCCGTACATTTGCCTTTGGCGTATCGGTTGGGCAGGCTATTCTATCCGTACTGCAGCGCAAAACACATTTACAGGGACCATGCACGAAATGCACGATAACTCGCTGCAGCGATGGCACGCAGATGTGGAAACGGACAACGTTGCCAGATGAACAGTAAACTAGGGAAAGAATATCTATGGATTTATTGTATGGGCCTGTTTGACTGACTGAATCCGTTTAATATATCTGTTTCACATGTTCGTAAATCAATTTTTTCTCGGAGGATTTAAATTGCGCTGAAATTGATCCTTTATGAACTTAGGACTGCGTTGCGTAGAAATAGCAGAGTCAACCTACTTGACGACTTTTTTTAAATAAATTGTCCATCACTTGCAGGGAAAGATAAGCATTCTTTGTTCAAATTTACCTTTTTTGTACATTATTTTTTCAATTATTTGTTAGTAGTCTACGAAATACATTTTTCCTTCAATGCGAACGTTGTACGGTACAAAATATTCAGTCTATCGATCAGATCACAAAAGATTCATTCTGAGCACTGGCGGATTTAGAGTGGTGGCGCGGGGGGCGCCCGCCCCCCTAGACGTCTGAAATTTGCTTTTGCAATCTAACACCATTGTGTTACTTTCTGTCATGGCTATATCTATTGATATTTTTATCAATGCTGATATAACAGACGTGCTTGAGTGTATCAGTATTTGTACCATTTACTTGATTTGTTTAATGGGCAGTTCAGAGTCTTAATCCTTAAGATTATTACATACTAGTAGAACCCGTTGCGCAATTTGTCTATAGGCAGTCTGGAGACGGTCTCAAGACACGATCTATAGATGGTCTACAGACATCCTTCTTTGTCTTGTCTAACGTCCATACGATAATGTGAATTTTTTGGTCTCATGTTCGTTTTCGTAATCAAATACATTGTTTTGTGTGGAATGGACTGGGATATATCTCGGGGTCCCTCAGAATGCTTTTTTTTTGGCGGTTAACAGAGCAATGAAGTTTTTTATGTTTGAATCTTTAATATTATTATACTAGTTAATTATAAATGCCACGTACTTACTTTGTTCTCATATAATAAAATATGGGCTTTCTGAAGATTTCTGAGCAATTTCCATCTTTTTTTCAAGCTGGCCTTGACCAGATACAACACAATGGATTTAAGGAGCAACCATAGGATGGATTCTAGAAGTTCCACTGAGGTTAAAAAATGACCAGCCCAAATATCGTTTGCGCCCCCCTAGACGAAATCCTGAATCCGCCCTTGAATCTGAGAATCTTTCATGTTAACCAATGAATCTGATAGTAAATACTTGGAAGCCTAATTAGTATTAGATCCGGTATTCATATTTCAGCAAATATAATTATTAAAAAGCTTGCTGTGTCAAATAGTTTGGGATAGTGTGCGTCATATTTTGGGAAAATGAATGTATGCAACAATATGACAGCTGTTATACGACGTCTGTAAATTAAGCGGCAACGTAGTGTTCGATCCGGCAACACTGGAGGCGCCGGGCTTGGAGAGGGGACAGGCAAACGTGTGATCCGCCTTCAGTACAGGTTGAAACTCGCTCGAGTCATTTCATTATTCGGAGATTTTTTGTTATAAAACAGTTTTTCCTATTGTGCTGTGTTATGCTATGAGGAGTGGAAGAATCGTCTCCAGCGCTATTTGGCTTCAAAAGTTATTTTAACGGTGACAATATAAAATTGTAATTATATTTGAATAAGAAAATTTAAAAAAAAAATCACACTCATCACTTAATTTACACGCCTCGTGTGTGACAACAGCCTTCCCCAAATAACAAATTAAAATACTGAATAAATGTTCACGTTCAAACCTAGAATAGGAGTTTCCACATATCTCCTGTTACCCTCCAACCCTTCTTAGGAACGTACAAAAACCGCACCACATTCTGTTACTTTACACCCTCGTTAATCGCTGTGAATTGTTCTCCTAGAGACATAAAGATTCGTATGTACACGGTGCGCGCTAATTATGTTCCGTTTCCTGCAAACGAAAACGCTCTTGCCTACTCTGAAGGAAAAGGTACGCTTTGTTGTCTTGTAAGAACGAGCGACCACAAGTGCACCTCTTCATCTGTACAGTTTGAGGTCAACAATGAGACGCTTCCTACTAACTTGCAGTTATAAAAGGCACGTATAGCTGAGAGTCACGGAAAATTTAGATGCCTTGAATAGTACATTACATACCTAGTATGAGAAATAAGCCACTCTTGGGCGAGCACTTTTATAACCCGAGACGATTAGTGATGAAGGGAGTGAATGGAAAACGAATGATGGGACAACGTACGTAGCTTCTTCCATCTTTCCGAACAGTATCAAGTGAAGGTAACGTCACTATCTGCTACGCACCGTTCTGATTACTAACATACGAGAGCAGTCCGATAAGTAGTAAGCCTACAAAAGAAAAATGAAAATTTTGGAAAAGTGGCATTTTATTTCTCAACATAGTCTTCTTTTAAATCGATGCACTTGACCCAGCGATGCTCCAACTACTTTAACCCGTCCGAAAATACGTTTTCAAAAAATTCTGTTTACTTATTTTGTTATTCGGGAGAATATCCAAATTTTGCTAAAATTTATTTCTTTTACAACAGAAACCTATACAAGTCGGAGCAACCAGGTGCTTGGAATTATACTTAATTTTGATGACATAAGAAACCGTGTGTGGATTTAATGAGTTTCTCTCCGTCGACCGTTGCTACATGACCAGCGAAAAGTCCCTCTATACCATTGATTCCCAACGTGGTCTATATCGACCCCTAGGGGTCTATGACAACCTGCAAGGGGTCTACGTCAGCGAAAAAAAATTTGGGGGTCCATGAAATGAATATGGGGGTCCACGATAGTGGATCTCAACACATACACTGATAGTACCTATTTACTTACATCATACTATCTTATAATATCAAAACATATACATTATTTATAAAAGTACCTATGAAGTAAAAAATTTATTATATATGTTTATAAAATTGTGTAAGTTGTAGGATGTTGGTATTCGCTTTGTGGTCGCAATACATTTTGAACTTGTAAAAACCTGAGAGTCGCAGTCCCAGAGCTTCGCTACCTTGCACAGACTTGTTCAATTCGTCACTCTATAAATACGAATGTGGGACAAATACGTTTATTCGTTTCCTGAATCTTGAAAAGGAAAGTGCTAAGAAAATATTTTAAAAAATATAAACTATATCACACAAATTATAGTGAGTCAGTGTTATTTTTTGAGAGTGCTGGAGAAAAGTAAGTACATTATTTTTTATTAAATTTTAGTTTTGTACTCGTAGTTACCAAAGATAGATAAATTACGCCAATCATGACTTTAGTTATTAGTAGTTAAATATTCAATCATGCAAAATTACACGAGTACTCCTCAATAGTTTCTTTTTGAAAGTTTTAGCAATCGGTAATATAATTACAGTGCAATCTCCGTAATTCGAGCTAATTATTGCAAGAAGATATGGAATGTTTTCGGAAAAATCAAAAAATATTTTTATATACAGCTGCTTGATTTTCTGTCTTATTTAAATAATTTAATTTTACCCACAGATGACTGATGCCATGTCCGAATCTAAAAAGAAATGTAGACAGTACAGTGTTGATTATTTGAAATTTGGCTTCATTCCATCATTGCCGGACAAACAATCGCCTATGTGCCTTTTATGCAACAAAGTTTTGGGCAATGACGCTATGAAACCATCTAAACTGCAAGATCATCTGAGAAGATGCCACCCTGATAAAACAGAGAAAGATGTGAAATACTTTCAAACACTCAAAAATAAATTTCAGAAGAGACCTACACTGGACAGAATGTTCGCTTCGACGTCACAAAGAAATGATGATGGTTTGCGGGCGTCTTACAATATCTCGTTACTTATAGCAAAATCCGGAAAACCGCATACTATCGGAGAGAAGTTAATTTTTCCAGCCGTTGAAGAGGTTTTAAAAACTGTTTTACACAAACCTGCACCTGATATCATTAAAAGAATTCCCTTAAGCAACAATACTGTTGAAAGACGTATTGATGAAATGAGTTCTGATATTGAAAGCTTCTTATGTAATTATTTGCAAACGACCCATTTCTCTATACAACTGGACGAGTGACATAGAAAAAACGAATGTCATAAAACAAGAGGAACTGACTGAACTAAGTACAAACGAAGAATTTAAGGTTCAGTTTAAAAACGGATATCAGCAATTCTGGCTCCAAAACATACCCGTTACTTATCCCGTATTATGGAATATAGCGAGGAAATTTTTAATTTCCTTTCCATCGTCATACCTAGTGGAAAGCGCTGTTACCAATCTCCTAACGAAAAAAAGAAACAGACTGGACATCATTAGCCGAGGAGATTTAAGATTAACCCTTACAAAATTGACGCCAAATGTTGATAATTTATTATTAAAGCATCAGGTTCATCCTTCTCACTAAAAATATTGACTTATTGCTTATGTTATTTTATTTATAGTTTATTTTATGTTTATTGGTGTCTGACCAATAAATGCCCGCATTGGGAATAAGTGACCGCATTAATTTTTTTAAAGAACCCCCCCCTTTATAGAAAATATTTTTTTTAATTATTCTGAAAATTCAAGGATGGGTACACACTAAAATTCGTTAATTTTTTGCCTATTTTTAGATAACTTAAACGTATAAGAAGCGGAATTTAATCAAACTAACAGTGAAATTATTGTAGAACATACGTTTATGTTATAATTAATAAACGAACTCGCTTATTGTAGTATTTTAAGTAAAAAAACTTTTTTTTATTATTTTTCACTTTTTTTTATTTTATCCCTCTTATTTTTTTTTCAATGCGGGCACTTATTCCCAATGCGGGCACTTATTGGTCAGACACCTGTTTATTTAATGTTACGTATATTTTACATAACAGATACAAAATTTTATTTTGAGTAGTTTTAATTTAAATTCAATTAATAAATGTATAAATTAACATGTGTTTTTACTTTAAGTTTTTAACATCTCTGCTCTATACGTTCGTGTTGTGAGCTGGTATACAAAAATAATACTGTGCAATTTTAAGCGGTTCATACCATAAATGGGCATTATTCGTTTTAAAAAGATAGATCAGCCACAGTTGGTTTGTTGTGAACAGCTTATCTCCGTGACAAAGGCTCGAGCTAAGGGATTTTAAATTCAAAAAACAAACATTTTTTTAATTGAGCGTCTTACATTTCACAAGATTCTCCTGGCATAAAAAGTGTCCGGGAAATCCCAGGCTGATGACTGAAGACAAGAGATAGAGAAGAGAGAAAATGGCCATGTTAATGTCTTTTTTTATTTTGAAATCCAATCTCAAAAAATCCTGGGAAAAAGAAAACCGTTTTTGAGAAAATTCTGTTATTTGTCTTCGGAAAGTGCAATTTTATTAGTTACTGAATGCGCAACTTTGCCCCTGTTTAAGTGGCTTCGCATCTCTTACGTTTCCGAGATCCCAATGGCGAGAGTCGAATTTGGTATATTGAACAGAACAACCATGAACGCGCCCAAATTCTCTGAAGATTCATCACGGCGTCATTCATAGTTATACATTAGAGTGGTTGTTTTTATCAATTCGCACTTATGGACAAGTTAATCGGTTTTCCAACTAGGATCCTCGATTTGTTTTCCTGTCATACATTACATATACCATTTGCACAGAAAAATCAATTTTAAATTCACGAACAACACACATAATAAGGTATTACTTTTGCTAAATCTTCGCCCACGCACTGCTTTACGCAAATTCACCTATTTACTAGTTTTCTTGTTTTTTAAAGCGATTAGTTCATTCCTTTATGTTTGTATAACTGAGAAAGTGCTTTAAACGTTCGGTACATACCTTAAAACTCAGCTCGAATGGTTGGTATAAAATTGGAATTATAAACACAACACCTATTTTACAAAGCAATATTTTTATTGAGAAAAGATCAGCAACCAACTTTCAACAAACATGTTGACTATATGTGTCGGAAATTAGACAAAAAGATCGGGTATTGTCGTAGAATTTGTGAGAATCTAAGTCCCTGGTGCAGAAGGGTAAGTCTACAATACAATAATTATTCCTCATTTTATTTATTATTGATTACATGCACAAACGAGCAAAAGCAAAGGTTGCAAATTCTATTAAATAAATGTATGCGGATTTTGTTAAATTGTATCAGGTATACCCATATACAGTATATGTTAAAGGCATTAAATTTTTTAAACATACACCAAATTATTCAAGAGGCAAATTTAATTATTTTATATAAAATTATCAATAATCAGGCTCCACCTTATCTTGAACAGTTTCTAAAAAAAAGATGTGAATTGCAAGGTTACGACATTAGACCAAAAGAAAATTTTCATATACAAAGATTTAGATATAAAGGTTTAGAAAAGTCAATGTTTGTTGAAGGTCTAAAAATATACAACAATCTGCCTATTAATGTAAAAACATATAGTAATGCTAAAATTTTCAAACAGAGACTTCGGAGAGACTATCTTGGTTTGAAGTGACGACCTCTTTGTAAATTTAACATATTTTTGTAAATAATATTTATTATTGTTTGAAGTAGCTTAAAGCTAAATAAATCCTTTCTATTATATTCTATATACTATTCTATTCTGAAACAAATGTTGTCTAGTAACCAAAAAGCTTGTGAAATTCTACTACAACTGATTGCCAATTATTCAAAAACGTAGGACGAACATTTTTATGTGCTTTTTTGCGATGGCCGATTCATAATTTGGATGTAAAACTTAGTTCTGCCCGGAGTGTTCGATTTCCAAGGTTTCCCCTACGTCGTCGAACAAACTGATGTCATCAAATAGATAATTGCATGATATTATACCTTTGTCCTATAGTACACTGTTGAAACTGTAATTATATTTGATATTTAATCATTTGGTCGTAACTAAGATCATGCAGATTTTATAGCATCGACCTATGAAATGCATATTGTAAGCAGCTTCTATGAAATGGACAAGTATTAATAATCCATACGATAATATATTTACACGGTGAGTTCCTATTATGTATTATTGAAGATCTAAAGACACATATTTCAACCATTATGAACAAACCACTGATTATTTATTTATACAGCTTACATTTAACCGATATATACTCTATTAGTAATTCATATACTTCAGCAGGATGATGCATTGTACAATAGCTGCACTCACAAATAATGCTAACCACGCACTATCTATTGTGAAATAATAATCTGATGTTAACAGGAAATGAGATAACTAAATCGAAATACATAAATTGAATTTCTCAACTGCACTACTACATTATTTATAGTAAGAGTCATCATTAAAGCAGTCATAGATCTTCGAAAAAACAATAATTTGAAAATTCAAAATACTTATTATCGGCCCCTCTTAAATAAGCGCTAAACTAACAAAAATTGAAATCTGTTCGTAAGTTTAGGAGCTTTGATGCCACAGATACAAGGTCTGTCCCAAAATACACATGACTTTTGAAAGATATCCGATATAAGTAGCGCCATCTATTATCGAAGACTAGCGCTGGATCTTCCATTGATGCCCTGTCAAAATTTCAACCCAATCGAACCATGTCACGCGGAGTTATCGGGCTCAAAGTGACAGTACCTTTTTAGCATCAGTCGAAAAATGATCATCGAACAAAGAGTCAATATTAAGTTGTGTTGAACTTGGTAAAATACTCGTATTTACCGAAACGCATCATATGTTGATGCAAGTGTATAGTGGTGATAGTTTATCTCGTAGCTGAGTCCACGAGTGGTTTACACGGTTCAAAGAGGGTCGGGAGTCGCTGGAAGTAGGCCAGCCAAAATTTGTGTTTACGCCAGAAACCATAGAAAAAGTGAGTGAACTTATCAAAAATGATCCAAAATCTTCGTTGAGATACATAGAAATAGAATTAAATATCTCTAACGATTCAATCCATCGCATTTTTAGCCTGAAATTTGGGCATGAGAAAGAGGCCAAAAAAGCCAAGAGTCAAAGTGCCGAATGGAAGCACCCGAACGAGCCAAATCCAAAAGAAAAAACCGCTGGGAAAAGTCTAAAGTGAAGACAATGTTCAATTGTTTCTACGATTCGAAGGGAATTATTCCCAAAGAATTCGTTCCAACGGGCCAAACAGTTAATCTCGGTGTTATGAGGAGTTTGGTCGCGTATTGTTCGTCCAGAATATCGCGAGGAAGGAAGCTGGCGCTAGTTGCATGATAATCCACCATCTCATCGATCGACGCTTGTGTCCGATTTTTTACAAAAATGTCATTTTAACCATCAACCACTACCCATATTCTCCTGATATGACATCGTAAGACTATTTTCTGTTCGGTAAACTATATTTGGCCATGAAGGGACAGCGGTATGTCGACGTAGAGGCCATCCAAAAGCAGGGTTGATTTGTTTTAAACATTTTGTTTTAATCAATAATTGTTTTAAACATTCGCTTAGGTTTAAAACAGTTTTTGATTAAAACAGTTTAAAACATGTTTAAAACACTTAAAATAACCAAGCGTTTTTTTGTCTTCATTTTCATTATTAATATAATAAATAAAATAGGAAATGTTCTCAAATACAAATTTTTTAACATATATATATTATTTATTCATTAATAATAGGAACATAACAAAAATAGAACTTAAATATTTTGCATACAGTGTATACAAATTCCCCACACTCTTTCAGTCTCATCACTGATGGAATTAAGCTCTTTAAAAATTGATACCAACTTTTAGCAGCTTTGACATTGCTTTGCCGATTACGTGGTTTTTCAATGGACTAAACCATAATGAGAAGAATCTTTCTATGTTGGCTGACCATGCAATAACTGTATGAAGCTATTGAGCAAGTTCCAAAGCTGTGGTATTTATATTTTTCATAGAACGCCACGATGCGAATGGTTTTACATTCTCAATTAGATGTTTAGAAAACATATATGGTTTAAAGGGTACACACTTTGCCTGGTAACTAATAATATTTGGCAATGCTTCTGGATGATAGGTTTATACATATTCCATGTCAGTTTCTATTTGCTCTTGACTAAGTTTATTGCCTCTACAGCGACGATCAAGCAAATTTGCCAAAAAATGAACTGCGGTCAAAGCCATTTTCATAC